GAAATCAGCAAAATGCAAAAAGCTATTGGATATTTATATGGATATCAAGAATATCGAGAGATGTTGTTATTAATGAAAATATAACTTTTGGAAGGGATATTAACTTTGTACTTCAGAGCTTAAGACAATCACTAACTAACAGAAATCAGGATGAGACTTATATGTGGGTCAGATAATTCCCCATATGCCTGCTGCAAGGTTCTTAACTCTGGTTCTGACCATTTGTAAACAGAATACAGTACCAGATGGACTGCTTGACTAGATGGACTGCTGGAACACAGAAATTCTATGTCCCTGTGTGTGTTAAGTTAAACTTAAAGGACCTGGGAGGATGCACCCAAAGAGTAATGATGGAGCAAAATAGGTTAACAAGCTCACTCGTTTAACTCTTTAACTGCAATTTAAAAAAAAGGAGGAATAGATAGATAATGAGATATAGACCTTTCATCTTTAGGTCACTGGACTGAATCCACCCCAAGTTGATAGTGACTGAAAGTTAGTACCATCTAGTGGCATCTATAGTATTTGCAATGGATTGGTAGTGTCAGTCTAACTCCTAGCACACAGATATCCACATCATAAAATCTCCACCAAACTGGCCAGCTTGATAGTCTGGGCAGAGAGACATAAGAATGGTCAGGCTGGGTCAGTTCAAAGGTCCATCTGGCCCAGTATTCTGTCTTCCGACAGTGGCCAATGCCAGGTGCCCCAGAGGGAACAAACAGAACAGGTAATCATCATGTGATCCATCTCCTGTTGCCCATTCCCAGCTTCTGGCAAACAGGCTAGGGACATCATCCTTGCCCGTGCTGGCTAATAGCCATTGATGAATTTATCTAGCTCTTTTTTGAACCCTGTTACAGTCTTGGCCTTCACAACATTCTCTGGCAAGGAATTCTACAGGTTAACTATGTGTTGTATGAAAAATTACTTCTTTTGTTTGTTTTAAACCTGCTGCCTATTAATTTCATTTGGTGACCCCTAATTCTTGTGTTATGAGAAGGGGTAAATAACACTTCCTTATTTACTTTCTCCACACCAGTCATGATTTTATAGACCTCAATCATATCGCCCCTTAGTAGTCTCTTTTCCAAGCTGAAAAGTCCCAGTCTTATTAATCTCTCCTCATATGGCAGCCTCCATACCCTTAATAATTTTTGTTGCCCTTTTCTGAACCTTTTCCAATTCCAATATATCTTTTTTGAGATGGTGTGACCACATCTGCACATAGTATTCAAGATGTGGGCGTACCATGGATTTCTACAGAGGCAATATGATATTTTCTGTCTTCTTATCTATCCCTTTCTTAATGATTCCCAACATTTTGTTTGCTTTTTTGATTGCCGCTGTACATTTATTGGATGTTTTCAGAGAACTATCCACAATGACTCCAAGATCTCTTTCTTGAGTGGTAACAGCTAATTTAGACTCCATGATTTTATATGTATAGTTGGAATTATGTTTTCCAGTGTGCATTACTTTGCGTTTATCAACACTGAATTTCATTTGTCATTTTGTTGCTGAGTCACCCAGTTTTGAGAGATCCTTTTTTAGCTCTTCGCAGTCTGCCTGGGACTTAACTATCTTGAGTTAAATAAATATATATAAAATGTAGGTCAAAAGAAACAGTATACACCACAAGAGAAATGACAACACTGGATGCTATGACACATACTTCTAGGTACAGTGTAAGCATCAATTCAATTATGGAATGCCAGCCCACGTAGGGAGTAGAAAACAATAAAATCCACCAGTAAAATAGTGAGGATTCCATCAGGATACTACATCTGACCCTGCAACTTTCGTATTTTTTACTTTAATATTGTATAGTGCTTTATTAAAAAAAAAAAGCAAACAAAAAAACCAACCAAAGTCTCAATGTACATTTAGGATAAGACTATGTTTAAACAGAGTGCACAATTCTTCATGTGAAATTTTAAATTCTAAATCCTGATACTTTTGAAGAGAAAGATAGAGCACTTCATCCTGTACTACTGGTGGTGTCTCTGCTAAATGAGGAAGAAGAAATTAGAATTCTTATTTTCAAATCTAGCTTCCTTCTGGCATTCACAACTTTCTAATAGATACATAAACTGCTGATAGACTGAAAGGAAGGTATACAGTTTAAAAGTATACAATTATACTATGGTTCCTAAAGTTATATTATGCCATTATAAACGCAGCCAATGCTTTAGGGCCAGATTTTCAAAGATATTTAGGTGTCTAAAGATGCAGGTAGGAGCCCAGTGTGATTTTTCAAAGCTGCCTAACTCCCATTGAATGTATGCACCTAGGCACTTTTGAAAGTTCCAGGTGCCTAAGTCCCAATGGGAGTTAGGCAGCTTTGAAAAATCCCACTAGGCTCCTATGTATACCTTTAGGCACCTAAATATCTTTAAAAATCTGGCCCTTAGTTACTAATACAGATGAATAGCTTTTTGTCCTGAAGTGGGCACAGTGCACAAGAACACAACACTGAATCTAAACAAAAGGTATTTGAAAAGACACACATGTCTGAAGGAGAAGGGCACCAGTGACTGAATCTGCTTTAATGGAAGCTGGCATGAGCTACTGCACGTTTTCTGTTATTTAAAGGGGTGGTGACTGTGAGAACTGATGAATATTTTCTCACTTGTTTCAGAGAGCAAGTTGTCCAGAAGAAATTTTATGTTTGCCAATTTTCAGCATCCTTACTGAATGCTGCAGGACCATCAGCTGCTAAACAGTACAAAAGCCTTACTTTGTTTGACACCTAAACCTCTGACCCAACACAAGATCCATCTATCATTTCTCCTACAGCTAGTGTTAACAGAGCCCTTCAAAAACAAAAGCATGGCATAGCTTGTACAGACTGAAAGTACATGTAGATTTCAATCCCACACAGATCTACTAAAGTATTTCAGAACTGCAAGCAAATCACTTTGAAAATAATCTGAATTTACTGCCATAATTCCCAAACCAAACATATATTTTAATCTCTATTAATGCTCCTAAAACAAGAAAGCACCTTCAATCTTGAAAATCTGAGTATTTTACCTTTTAAAATTAAAAATATTTCAAACTGTAAACCTTTGAAAGCAACAGCTAAAATACTAATCCTTGTTATTGCAAAACAATCTATCAGGGGCGAAAGAACAGCTCACGGTTGCTTTTAAGGCAATTAAACCTGCCAGCATGTTTTCAAAAAGTCTGCCACTCAAACACTAGTATGAAATGGAATTTGAATATTGATGGGAATGTGCAGGTAGAAGTAAGTCTTGGGTCAGGCGTGTGTGGCTATTTATTCACTGATCTGATTAGCATATTTCAAAAGATGAAGGTAAACTACTAGTGGATCTCCTGTGCAAAGTGACAGTCTATGAATAATCCCAGTACACCGAGGAAATAACTGGCAATGTTCTCTGCTTAATTAACCATCAGAAAGCAATACTGATCCAATAAAGCAGCCTCTGTCAGCCGTTGTGAATAGAAGCCAAACAGACCATTTCAGTTTAGCCTGAAGAATCTGACAGATTTATCTTAAGCAGGTCAAAGGCAGACGATGCCACTGAAGTTAAAGCTAGAAGTAAACTGCATATTAAAGGTTCAAAATAAGATGTCAATATACAAACTTGACTGAGCAACAGAAATATGCTTGAACTTTTCATGCTTTTCCATCAGCAAAGTCTTCACTTGTATTATGAAAGACAGTCAACATTTCAGTCTTTAACCCAGTGGTTCCCCGGCTTTTATTTATATGCGATAGACTGGTCTATGGGCTCCATGGAAGCCCCCACAACCCTTTATGGCATGGCAGGATCTCTGCTTTTTTCTGTCCAGTCTCTCTTTTTTCCCCTTAGTCTCCCTGTTTACATGCTTTTTTTTACCCCTTCATCTCCCCCCGCCTTTTCTGCTTTCCATTTTCATACATTTTTGCTCTCTTATGTTTTGCTGCCTTTTCCTGGCCACCACCCTCCTGCCTGTTTCTCCCCTTACCAGAAGTGGGGGTGTCCATCAGAAATCTGTAAGCCTGGACACATGCTCCTGAAGACGTACTCTTTTGTGGGAGCAGAGACAAAGCTTCAGCTGATGATGTGCTTCTTAAAACTGTAGTCGGGTATGCATGAGTGGCTCCTATAGCCATGTGCATTAGGAAACAGCCTCAAGTGCAGGGAGGGAATGTAGTTTTTCAAAGAGATGCCAAATGATTTAGTCACAGCAGCACTATTGTAGTGGACATTCAGAGTGGATCTATGGTCATGCAGCTTTCCCCACCCTTACTGCTCCTTTCCTCTTCCCTGCACCCCCGTGCCCAAACCTAGACTTCTCTCTCTCTCACCCCCAGATCGCAGAATGCTGCTTTAGCCATTCTTTAAGCTTTTAAAAGTTACGCTTAGTAGCACTGAGAGCAACATCAGTAAGAAACAGGAAAAAGAACAGTTTATGAATTCTCCCCAGTGATATATATTCAAGGAATATTCCAAAATGTGTCTTCTTGTCATGCAACCTGGCTGAAACATCATATCTTTAAAATGAAGCTGCATGTAGTTTTAGTATATCTCCCTCAGGCTCACTAGCTGTCTTGCAGCTGTACGAAAAAGCAAGGGTAAGTAGAAATTTCCCTGCTCATGCTCTCCCCCCTCATCCCCAAGTTTGCTTCCCTATGAAAAGAAACATCTAAAAAGTGGGGTACAATGGTTATTCTTTAAAGAGCTCAGCATTAGCATCAGCCAGCTAAGTAAAATGAATTAGAAGGCTGGAGAATTCATCAACGTAAGCATCACACACTTGCACATTTCTGCAAGAGATTTATTTAGATTATTTGTTTGTACGCATGAGAGCAGGTCATGCTAACCTGTCAGGGAGAGGAACTCACAAAAAATTATAAGTCCTTTACATGTCATTTATAGCTCAGTGCTGAATCTCTGGTTTGTGGCACATGCGTATTCATGTAGTATTAAGACACCTAACCTATACTAATCGCTCACTCAGTTTCTTTCTCCCTCTGGTGAGTTACTCACGTGTAAACTTTGAGAACGAAATCTTTTTCTTCCTTTAGTTCAGAGATTGATTGAAGTACATCCATGATGCTCAATACTGCACAGCCATAGGGGCGACGATAATGTAGGTGGGAGGGGCCTTTTTTGGAATCATTTAGCAGCATGCGACCTGAAACAGACAGCTTGGTTAGAAATTAACATGCAGTTGCTCTCTCTGCTCCTATCTTTCTGTTGTCTCTATGTGAGTGTGTATACATACATACAGTATAAACTACAGTACAGAACTGTCTGTGTCCCTCTTTTCATATTCTTCTATATATGAATTATGCAGTCAATTGTTACATAGAAACTTTTTAACTGGGCCATTTCTGTAGACTGACTATTATTCTGATTAAATTATTGTCCCATTAAGAGATGAGATTTTTAAACAGCCTGAAAAAACTAGAAATAAAATACTGTACATTACACAAATACAAGAAATATTTACCTGGCCTCTTCTCAATTAAAACACCGATATCTTAACACCTTGGCATTGGCTAAATGCATCCCCATTAAGCAGGTTTTTTTGCTAACAGTGTGTCTCAAAAGCTGCTATTGCCATTTATGGTCACTGGGCACACAACAAAAAAGAGTTCCCTGTATTTATCCATCTGCAAATGATTTATAATTCTGAATGACCAGGTACGCTGACATCCTCTCCAAAAAGTGAGCTTTATCTCCCCCTTTCCTACATCTTGTGTGCAAAGTTTAGAAGGGTACACGATAAAACTGATATCTTCTCTTTCCAAATGGGTATTTACCCAAGTCTTGTGTTCCAGATCAAGAAAATCACTGTCTAGCAATTACTAAAATGTATTAACACTTATGTATAATGCCATGATTTGAAATTCTGTTTCTACAAAGAGGTAGGGTCTGTGATGGAGCTTTCTAACTGGTTAAATTGATCACAGCGTCAATTCAGTATAAGATAGGTTTTAAAAATATTTTTCATTTTGAGCTAATATAAAAAAAAATTAGTTAGCAAACCATACTGTACCTATTCGAATTACATGTGCAACTATGTACAAGTCTCTCTTCGTATCCTTGCTGCTGAGATCCTAACAAATTGGAAAAAAATAGAAGTTGAAACAAATAACACAACAAATAACAAATAACACAACTTTTGACCTTAAAGAAGGTCTGCAAAATACTCGTACAAACACACCCCACAAATAATAATAAATAATAATATTTTTCACGTATTTAACTCCTTCCATCTTTAAATCTGATTTACAAAGGTGGGAAGGTTATGGATGAAGAAAAATTAGGCACAGACAGGTTATGTTTTGGCTAGCAGAGTTCTATAAAAGAAAAAAACAAAAATCAACTGTCTACCTTGGTGAGGAAACTATGTTGGAACTCTGTCAACAGTCATTTTCAAACATGTATTTAACGCTTTGATCCTAACACACCCTACTTGAGATGAAATCTATGAGCTGCAGTACTACACAATATTAGGAAATTAGGCAGCTCTGCTGCACTGCCCCGCACTGTCTGCTAGCCACTTGCAGGGCATCTATATGGAATCCCATGCATGCATTCATGAGGCATTATGTCTTGTTCCAAGACTCCTCCGCTGATACATCCTTTGGGGCTGTAGTTTTACAAGCAGCCATACTCTGCATCCTCACACTCTCCTCTCGGACTACTGCTTGTCAAAACCCAGAGTGGAATACACATAGGAACCACCACTTGAAGAAGAAAGGGAAGTTACTTACCTGGTTGTAACTGGAGCTCTTCGAGATGTGTGGCCCCTATCTGTATTCCACTACCCACCCTCCTTCCCCTCTGCTTCAGATAATGATTGGATTCATGGTAGAGAAGGAACTGGAGCGGTGGTCAGTTCACCCTGCCCCTTATATTCTTGGTGCAAAGCATGAGGATGGCAAGGGCGCAGGAGCGGATCAACGGACACTGCTTGCAAGAATTCTCTCTCTCTCAGGCACATGGAGCACATGCATACCCACAATGGAATACACACAGGGACCAGTACTCAAAGAAGAAAACAGTGCCTAAGAGTCATTTAAATAGTTGTCATTCATGGAATATTTAGAAAATTATGAGGTTTTGGTTCTGTTACTATATTAAATATAAAAAAGTCATAGTAATACTAAAAGGAGAAAAAGATACCTATAGAGATTCTAAATAAAATTGTAACTTAACTCATCCTTATTGTTCCTAGTAAGAGGGAACAGTCGTCTCACTTCATTTGATGACCCAAGATGAAAAAACCCCAGGCATTTTACAATCACTAGACTTAAGAAGATGAGAACAGGATGTTGTAGCAGCCTCAGTTCCAAATCTAACAGCTATGAGGCTTATGTTTGACCCTTAATGTTATTTTAATATAACAGCTGTGGATTCAAATTTTTCATGTTTTCTTTCCCTTCAATTAAACTATTGCCACCATCACTAGGGTGGAGGCCTACTCCGAAATGTTTGAGTGAGGAAATGTTTCAGTATTATTAGGTTTGCTTATACAATAAGGTGGCTTGTTCTAATACTAAGTTTTGTAAAATATAAAAAACTCAACTTCGTTTCTCAGTAGCAAATTTTCAAAATGAAATCACTCCTAAGTCAAATGACACTAAAGCCATTGTGAAAAGAAAAGAAAAGACACTTTTTAGTAAAGGTAAAGGTGGAGAAATTCTGATTTTGCAATTTTATAACTTAAAATCAATTTAGAGAATTAAAAAAGGGTTGTTTTTTTGTTGAAAAGAAAATATGAATCGTACCTGTCACCTTGCATGGCAGATTTCTGTCCTATGTGATTTGAGAGAGGAAATCTCAAAAATTGAGGTTTATGATGGAACGAACCCAATGCACCGCTACAGACTAGGGACCGAATGGCTAGGCAGCAGTTCTGCGGAAAAGGACCTAGGGGTGACAGTGGACGAGAAGCTGGATATGAGTCAGCAGTGTGCCCTTGTTGCCAAGAAGGCCAATGGCATTTTGGGATGTATAAGTAGGGGCATAGCCAGCAGATCGAGGGACGTGATCGTTCCCCTCTATTCGACATTGGTGAGGCCTCATCTGGAGTACTGTGTCCAGTTTTGGGCCCCACACTACAAGAAGGATGTGGATAAATTGGAGAGAGTCCAGCGAAGGGCAACAAAAATGATTAGGGGTCTAGAACACATGACTTATGAGGAGAGGCTGAGGGAGCTGGGATTGTTTAGCCTGCAGAAGAGAAGAATGAGGGGGGATTTGATAGCTGCTTTCAACTACCTGAAAGGGGGTTCCAAAGAGGATGGCTCTAGACTGTTCTCAATGGTAGCAGATGACAGAACGAGGAGTAATGGTCTCAAGTTGCAGTGGGGGAGGTTTAGATTGGATATTAGGAAAAACTTTTTCACTAAGAGGGTGCTGAAACACTGGAATGCGTTACCTAGGGAGGTGGTAGAATCTCCTTCCTTAGAGGTTTTTAAGGTCAGGCTTGACAAAGCCCTGGCTGGGATGATTTAACTGGGAATTGGTCCTGCTTCGAGCAGGGGGTTGGACTAGATGACCTTCAGGGGTCCCTTCCAACCCTGATATTCTATGATTCTATGATTCTATGATAGCAATGCAGACAGACTGTGAAATATAGAAGTACAGCTAAAATAAATGCATATGGACAGCTACACTTCTAACGACAGCAAAGATCATATTTTATAAGCAAAGTTCTAAGAGAAAAATTCTGCCCTTTACATATGTGGCCATGCATGCCGAGTGGGGGGAAAGAGGGACGGGGAGAGAGGGAAGGGGAAGATGTCAACCAGAGCTGTATTTCCAGCATTAGTCTCATACTGCTAGCACAGTGCAGGATGGTTGAAGGGGAGCTATAAACTGATGGGGATATCTTGCTACTTACTCCTTTGAAAAGAAATAGTGTATTTCCTTGGCTAGAGCATGCTGCTTATTGTAAATATCATAGAATCATAGAATCATAGAATATCAGGGTTGGAAGGGACCCCTGAAGGTCATCTAGTCCAACCCCCTGCTCGAAGCAGGACCAATTCCCAGTTAAATCATCCCAGCCAGGGCTTTGTCAAGCCTGACCTTAAAAACCTCTAAGGAAGGAGATTCTACCACCTCCCTAGGTAACGCATTCCAGTGTTTCAGCACCCTCTTAGTGAAAAAGTTTTTCCTAATATCCAATCTAAACCTCCCCCACTGCAACTTGAGACCATTACTCCTCGTTCTGTCATCTGCTACCATTGAGAACAGTCTAGAGCCATCCTCTTTGGAACCCCCTTTCAGGTAGTTGAAAGCAGCTATCAAATCCCCCCTCATTCTTCTCTTCTGCAGGCTAAACAATCCCAGCTCCCTCAGCCTCTCCTCATAAGTCATGTGTTCTAGACCCCTAATCATTTTTGTTGCCCTTCGCTGGACTCTCTCCAATTTATCCACATCCTTCTTGTAGTGTGGGGCCCAAAACTGGACACACTACTCCAGATGAGGCCTCACCAATGTCGAATAGAGGGGAACGATCACGTCCCTCGATCTGCTGGCTATGCCCCTACTTATACATCCCAAAATGCCATTGGCCTTCTTGGCAACAAGGGCACACTGCTGACTCATATCCAGCTTCTCGTCCACTGTCACCCCTAGGTCCTTTTCCGCAGAACTGCTGCCTAGCCATTCGGTCCCTAGTCTGTAGCGGTGCATTGGATTCTTCCATCCTAAGTGCAGGACCCTGCACTTATCCTTATTGAACCTCATCAGATTTCTTTTGGCCCAATCCTCCAATTTGTCTAGGTCCTTCTGTATCCTATCCCTCCCCTCCAGCGTATCTACCACTCCTCCCAGTTTAGTATCATCCGCAAATTTGCTGAGAGTGCAATCCACACCATCCTCCAGATCATTTATGAAGATATTGAACAAAACCGGCCCCAGGACCGACCCTTGGGGCACTCCACTTGATACCGGCTGCCAACTAGACATGGAGCCATTGATCACTACCCGTTGAGCCCGACAATCTAGCCAGCTTTCTACCCACCTTATAGTGCATTCATCCAGCCCATACTTCCTTAACTTGCTGACAAGAATACTGTGGGAGACCGTGTCAAAAGCTTTGCTAAAGTCAAGAAACAATACATCCACTGCTTTCCCTTCATCCACAGAATCATGCTGGGGACTGGCCATGTGTATTACTTTAAAGGCCGGGAGGGACCATCATGATCATCTAGTTTGACCTCCCAAACATTGTAGACCACAAAACCTCACCCATCCACCCCTGTAATAGGCCCAAAACCTCTGTCTGAGTTACTGAAGTCCCCATATCTTGATTTAAAGACTTCAAATTACAGAGAATCCATTGTTACTCTCGTTTAAACCAACAAGTGACTCATGCCTCATGCTGGAGAGGAAGGCAAAACCCTACCAGGGACTCTGACAATCTGACCTGGGGAAAAATTCCTTCCCGACTCCAAATATGGTGATCAGTTATGCCCTTAGCATATGGGTGAGACCCACCAGCCAGATACCTGGGAAAAAATTCTCTGTAGAAACTCAGAGCCCTCCCCAGCTGGTGTACCATCTCCGGCCAATGAAGATATTTGCTAAAGGCAGTGCAGGCTGGGCCATATGCCATTGTAGGCAATCATACCTTCCCCTCCATAAACTTATCAATCTCAGTCTTAAAACAAGTTAGGTTTTTTGTCCCTGCTACTCCCCTTGGAAGGCTGTCACGCCTCTGATAGTTAGAAATCTTTGTCTAATTTCAAGCCTAAATTTATTGATGGCCTATTTATATCCATTTGTTTGGAGTTGGGTTTTTTCCCTCCAACACTGGCCTTTAACTTAAATAACTCATCTCCCTCCCTGGCATTCATAGGCGCCAAGTCCGTGGGTGCTCTGGGGCAGGAGCACCCACAGGGAAAAATTAGTGGCTGCTCTGCACCCACTGGCAGCGAAGCTCCCCTCCTGCCCCCCCCCGCTCCCTCTCACCTCACCTCCTCCCCTGAGCACGCCTTGTCCCCGCTCCTCCGCCTACCTCCCCCGCTTGCCACCGCAAAACAGCTCTTTCGCAGTGTAACAAGCTCCGGGAGGGAGCGGGGAGGAGGGGGAACAGGGC